CTCCCTCCCTCACTTTTATGTTTCAAGTACGTAAAGATCTGGTAAGGCCAGGGCAAGATTTTTGAGGAGAGCATTCATTTGGGGTGATGTAGTATACAGGATCTTGCACTGCTAATCCAAAGTCACATCTCCCTGGCGGTTCGATCCCACCTACATCTCTGTGGAAGAAAAATGGACAGTCTCCTCTCGGGTGATTTAAAGCCTCAAAAATTCAAAAGGGGGTTGCCTGTGAATTGGTTCTGACTCACAGCAATGAGTGAGTGGGTGGGTGACTGCAGGGTCTTCTAGGGGAATAAGGAAATTCTAGAGATCTGAAAGATGAGAGAAATGAACACTTTAATTTAAGAAGGCAATATGGAGTTGAATTACAGAAGATTCACATCTTTTTGTCCTTTGGCCATCTATCCAATGAACAACCATAAGACATTAGTCCTGTAGACCAGGAGAAATACATTTTAGAAATGGTTAAGTTCTTTCTTTAGGAAGGCTTGAGTATGGTAAGGAAGATAGAAGTGTCACCAGAAGAGCAGAGGCCTTGCTTGACATCTTGAGATTGGTTGGAATCCCACCTCTACTACTTACTAATTGTGATCTTAGGCAGGTGACTTATATTGTCTGTGGGCCTTATTTCCCTGTAAAAGTGGATTGTTACCATACTTACCTGATAAGACTGTGAGATTATGGAAAATACACGAAAGCACTTTTAGACTATAAAACACTGAACTAATATACTTTATTATACAAGCTTCAATATGGTACGTGCTGATTAAGCTGTAAAAGGTGCCAGGGGAGTTCAAAAGGAAAGAGAATCTCCAGGTGGAAATATTAGAAAAGGCTTCCTTCCACAAGAAGGTAACTTTGGGGCTGGGCTTTGCATGGTGGTTAGGAGTTTAACAGGCTGCGATGGGGTTTGGGAAGGTCAATCCAGACAGAGGATATAATGCAGCAAAGGCTTAAAGGCAGGAGTGCGTGCACACAAGGGTGATCACCAGACAGAGGGTAGATGAGGCCATAGGCACAGAAAAGGAAGGATGACAGCTAGTTCCAGTCTTTCAGTGACCTGGTGAGGTCACAGGGCTCCTAAGTAGCCCCCAAGGGTGAACTTAACCCCTACCTATCTGATTCTGAAGCCTGAATGTCAGTCTCACGAGTTTGATTGTTATTTTTGTTCCTGGCTGTAGTGTGGAAATGGAAGACAGCAGGGAGCAAAGGAATCACCTAGAGCTGCTACCCAGGGATTGTTGTTGTTGTTGTGTGAGGAGGAGGGAGTAGAAACCTGAATTGAGCTGTGTGGGGAGCTATTGGCATATCTAGAAGAACCTTTCCTAGTATGGATGTAGAGTCCTTGGACAGCGCAAATGTTTAGTGCACTTCACTGCTCACATAACGGGTGGACGCTCAAGGCCGCCCAGCAGTGCTGTGCTGTGGAAGGAAGGCCTGGTGATCCACTTCTGAAAAACCAGGTCATGAAAATCCCATGCTGTGAGTCAGAATTGACTTCACAGCCATGAAATGTGCCTGATGGGCATCTGGGGCCCCTGCAGTTACACAGAGGTTGCCAATAATGTGCAGAAGGAGGAGACGGTCCTCAACATCCAGTTTGTGCTGCTAGACTGTTCGCATCTCAAGTTCTCACTGGTGCAGCACTGCAACGAGTGGCAGAACAAGTTCACGACTCTGCTGAAGGAGATGGCGGCTGGGCGCCTGCTGGAGCTGCACACCTACCTGAAGGAGAATGCGGAGAAGTACGCGGTGTCAGGGCAGCCGAGGCCGGGTGCGGAGGGCAGGGAGAGCCATCTTTGCTTGACCTGGCCGCCTCTTCCTGTCCACCTTCAGAATCAGCCGCCTGCCCCAAACGCTGGAGGAACTGGGGAAGAGTCTGCACCTCATGGAAACCCTGCAGAATGACTTACCTAGTCTAGAAACCCAGATCCCCCCCATTCATGAACAATTCTCCATCCTTGAAAAGTATGAAGTGCCAGTTCAGGAGAGTGTGAGTCCAGTGGTCCCGGCTCCTCCCAGAGCCAGAGGGTGCCAGCGCCACATGGTGGGGGGTGTTAAGTCCCATGTGGTAGACCCTTGTCTAGTTGGGGAGGGGAAGTAAAGAAGGAGGAACACTGCTTGGTTTCGTTGGGCCTCACTGATTGTAAGCCTCGCAAGTGCACTCAGCCCCTCGAGGATCAGAAGGAATTCTTGAATCCTGGATGAGGAGGCTCATGGGCCATCTTTTCCTCTCTGTTATCCCTAGGTATTGGAGATGCTTGACAGTCTGAATGGTGAGTGGGTCACTTTTCAACAAGTTCTGTTGGACAGTGAACAAATGCTGAAGAGACACAAGGAAAAATTCAAGACAGGCCTTATTCACTCAGCTGATGATTTTAAGAAGAAAGCACATAATCTCCTGGAAGATTTCGAATCCAAAGGTTCTCCCTTCTCAACCTGTCTACTTTCTTTAGGTTTTTTGGTGTGTGTGGGTAAGTGGATGTGAGAGAGAGAGAGTAAGAGAGATATAAAATGATAGATGCCATTGAGTTGTCTCCAACTGATAGTGAAACTTTGTATAACAGATTGAAATACTGCTCCTTCTTCTCAGTTTCTGCTTAAGTTCACTGGATCTTTGTCTTTTGATGACCCTCTGATTTTTCAAGCACGATGACCTTTCCTGAAAGCTGTCCTTTCCTGATAACATGCCCAAAGTATGTGACATGAAATCTTACCATCCTTGCTACTAAGGACCATTGGCTTCATTGCTTCCAAGACAGATTTGTTTACAGTATTCTTTGTTAATGCCACAGTTCCAAGGCATCAGTTCTTCCTCAGTCTTTCTTATTTGTTTTCCAACCTTTATATGCATATGAAACAATTGAAAACATCATTCCTTGGAACCAGGTGAACCTTAGTATTTAAAGTGACATCCTTGCTCTAGCTTGTTAAAGAGATCTTTGGCTGCAGATTAGCCCAGGCCAATACATCTTTTGATTCTTGATGGCTGCTTCCAAGGATGTTAATTTTGGATCCAAGTTAAAGGAAATCCTTGACAACTTCAATCTTTCCTCCATCATTTATAATGTTGCTCATTATTGATTCCATTGTGAGGATTTTTATTTTCCTACTATTGAAGTGTAATCTATACTAAAGATTTCAGTCTTTTAAAAAATTGTTTTTCATACAGTAATTTGTTTATATTGCATTTCACTAATCTACATTGTTTGGTTTTCCCCGCCCCCTTCTACCCACCAGTCTCTGCTACTCCTTGTTTTCCCCCTTCCATCCTCAGCCCTCCAAGTCTTCGAACTTCAAATAAATGCTTCAAGGTCTCCTCACAGCAAGCAAGATTGTGCCAACTGCATGCCATAGTTTGTTGATACATACATACACACACATGCACACACAACATAAATGTTGTCATACTAATAATTTTAAGTATTCAATTCAGTGGCATTAATTATATTCACAATTTTTGCATCAGTATGTGTTTCCAAAACTTTTTAAGCACCCAAAATAGAAACTTAACCACTTTTCCATTATTTAAAACAGAAACATACTGGATACAGTAAGCATCAATTCTTTTTTTTCCCTATAATTATATTTTATTAATTTTCATAAACATTTACAAAGATTTTGGGTTTCCATTCATTCATTGTTGCACTATTCTCTCTACCCTCCTCCCAGTTTGTTCTTGTCTAAAAGTAAGCATCAATTCTTTATTACCTCTTCTCCGTAGACCCAGGTAACCACTAATCTTTCCAGCTCTATGTATTTGCTTAGTCTCATGGTTGTTGTGTACCACTGAGTTGGAACCAACCCATAGCTGACCAAGGACTTTACTGTCCATTTTTCTTCCATGGAGCAGTGGGTAGACTTGAACTGGGTACCTTTGCACTGACAGCACAGTTCCTTAGCACCAAGCCACCAGACCTCCCTGTCTATTTGCACTGTCTAGATACTTCAAAAAGGGGCCACTGGTGGCCTACTGGTAAGAAGCTGTGCTGCAACTCCAAAGGCATGCAATTAAAATCTCAGCTGCTCCATGGGAGAAAGATGAGCAGTCACCTCCCGTGCGATTTAATTGTCTGAAAATCTGCTGAAGCGTCAGCTATGAGTTCAGTTCTGATTCGATGGCACACAACAATAACAACAGCTACTTCATGTAAGTGGTATTTGATGACACTTGCCCGGTTGTATCTGATTTAATGAATTCAGTGTAATGTATCTATGGTTCATTCATGTCATAGCATGTTGTTATGTGTCGTCGAGTCGCTTGCAACTCATAGCCGCCCTATGTACAACAGCCCTAAACTCCGGTCTGTCCTATGTCAATCGCACTGTCTCTGACTCTCCCATCCCAATTATCCCAGTCACTGAATCAATCCACCTCATAGAGGGCCTTCCTCTCCTGCGC